TTTTTTTTTTTTTTTTGGTTTAAGACACTATTTTTTTTTTATTCAATTTTTATTCTTAAAAAAAATTTTTACCAAAAATTTTTAATTAAAAAATTTTGAATCATAAAAATTGAATAAAAAAATATTTTTAAAGCAAAAAAAAATTTCTTAATTTTACAAAAAAATTTATCATTTTTTATTTCAAAAAAAAATTTTTCCGGGGGATTAAAAAATTTTTGAATGATAATACTGTTCCTAAAAAGTAGGCAATAAGCTTGATTATTGAAACAATAATCGAAAAAGTGAGAGTGAGTGAAAAAATGGGTAATTAATAAAATGTAATTAAATAAAAAAATACACTCATATCAAATAGTCTCGATATTAGTTGTAGCGTTAAAGTAATATAAATAAAATAAATAAAATGAAACATTTAATAATATTAAATACCCATACGAAATGAAATGTACTCACAAAAAAGTACATTTATTACTTAAATAAAAATATTAAAAATAAATCGATTATTACTAGTTGAGAGGCTGATTTGTTAGACAATTTCTCTGTCCCTGTTTATAATAAAGCAAATAAATAAATAAAATTATTTATTTAATAAATAATAAAATTAATAAATATCCAGTACTGTACATACAATAGCACTGCCCCTAGCGTACGCGGTAAGACTTTATTAATTAGTCGTACATATTTGAGCTTAAAGGAAACAATTAATTGATTAAATGATAATTAAAAATTTTGGTAATTATTTACAAGTGGGGTTGACTCTTTTTTCGGCCATATTTAGGTGAAAAATTGATATTTTTTTTCATTCTGCTTGTTTTTACAGCGCATTTATGATAAAAAATCTCGTAAAAAACAAAATTAAATTTTTAATTCCTTTTTTTGCCTTCAAAAGTTGGAAAAAATTTTTGGCTCTCATATTATTGGATAAAATTTCTATTTTATCTATTTTTTATCATTTTAATATATTTTTTTTTGTAAAGTAAAAAAAATAAACAATTACAATTTAAACATTTTTTTAAATTGTTAATTTTTTAATTTATTTTTCAAAAAAAAATATTAACAAAATCTTAATTATTAATGAAAAAATTAATTTTAAAAAATCAATAAAATTAAGTAGAAATTTTTTTTAAAATAAAAAAATCAAAATTAAAATAATTGACCTGACTTGTAAATAATTACCAAAATTTTAATTTAATTCTGCGACTTGTCACTCATTTTTTATTTATCGCAGTAGTGTAAAATAAATAAACGTAATATAAATTATTGAATTATAATTTTTTTTTTTTTTTATTTAAATTTTGTCCTTACCTTCGTCCTTTTTACACTTACTGTAATTTAAATTGTACTACATATATATTTAAAACGTGTTTTAATGAAAGAATAAGAAACAAAAAAATTTTTTTTTTTATTGAAAGATTTTAAAAAATTGGAAAATAACTCACTTATTCTGTCATAAAATGCGTCTATTTACATACAGGGTAACAAAATAAACAGTAATTATTCCAATAAAAAATAAAAAAGTTAGTTTAAAAACTCACGAGTAGTTATATATTATATAGAGACTCTTTGAGGTAATAAAAATTGAGCCAGGGATGAATGAGTAGTTGGACAAGAGAAAATAAAATTAGACGTGACTGAAGCGATTTAATAATAATAATAAAAATAATAATTATAAGTAATTAAATAAAATGGAGTATTTAATCGGGAGCTCAGTAGGATTTTTGATAGATTATTGTGAAGACTTGATAATATTTGGTCAATACGAAGATAAGGAGACAGATTGAAGAGGAAAAAAATAAAAAGGAAACTGACTCAACGACAAGACAGTCCAGTCCGAACGTTATTAATTAATCAATTAAATGAAACTGTAAGGAATTAAATCAACAAATCATCGACAACTCGGTTATTATTTATTATAAATTATAAATATTATATTATATTAATATAAATATATTGAATTAAAATAATTAAAATAGTGTTTGGACTTAACGATCGACATTTATGATTAGATACACGGTGTATGTCTTGTGCGAAATAAACAAAATTGTTTTTAAAATTTATGATGTTATTTATTCCTCTTCCTTTTTATTATTAGTAATTGATAGTAAATATGATAATTGTAGATTTAAAAAGTGTATTGGATTTTTTTTAAAGATAAGTATTTTATTAAATTTATCATTTATATATTAGAAAAATGGCTTTCAAATAGTTTTTTTAGATATTTTTAATTTTAGTTAATTTTTATAATTTTTAAAAGCTTTACTTTTAATAAAAATTTTAATGACTTTTGTTGAATTGCACTGTACTTTCTTATCTATTGACATTTTTGAAGATATAAGCTCATTTTGATGTTACACTCATCAAGAGCTTTCATTTGAGTACCCACATGCATTTATGATATATTTTTCATATATACATATATATAATATATATTTTAAAGATATAAGCTCATCACGATGTTTTACTCATCAAGAGCTTTCATTTGAGTACCCACATGCATTTTTGATATATTTTTCATAGATACATATATATAATATATATATAAATATATGAAAAATTGATGTGGGTACTCAAATGAAAGGTCTCGATGAGTGTAACATCAGGATGAGCTTATATCTTTAAAAATGTCAATAGTTCACCAGATACAAGGTCATTTCTCAATCATGTATCTAGAGATACTTTCAAATGCAGCTTAAATACTTATCATAATAAATTGACTATCGGTGAGAATGATATGAAACCTTAAAAAGGGACAAATTCAAGTCAAGACCTTTTCAATGACACCAAATTTCACTAAAAAACCCGATTTTATCATATGAATATCCTGGAGACAAAATTTTTCTTATTCTCTTAATAATATAGATTAAATGAATGAATTTGTAAAATAATCTTGACTTAAAAATCTATTATCACCATTTTTTAATTTTTATTATTAATATAACAAAATATTAAATTAATTAAATTTTTAATAATAATAATAATAATACTAATATTCTTTTTAAAAAAGAAAAAAAATCCAGCAAATCGACTCCTAAAAATTCTAAATAAATCTAACATCAAAAACAACAACTAATCCCTCTAGCGTAAAAACCCCAAAGCTTGTGGTCCCCGTGCCCCTGTCGATCAAATGGAACCCTAAGAATGGGGCACGCTCTACACTCGACACCCTACACTCCATATTCCACATTCCTCTGTCCCTTGTTTGCACCCTTATACAACCTGCGTATTTACATGTATGCCTAGTGAATATCCCTAGCACACATATCATACATCTCATACATCATACAGTATATAGAATAAAATAAAATGAAATAAAATACATATCCAGCGAGCGTTGACAAGAGTGTCTCTAGAGAGCGGACGCGAGGTTACGCTAGTCACGAATAAAAATAATAAAAATAACAATCTAACTCCCCAGCCGCTAAGAACTAATGCCCTCGGCATCGCATTTTTAATTATTCCTCGTTAATATCCGCTTGATATAAAAGTATGGGGTAAAAAAAAATGAAAATAACAACACTAAAAAAATTATTCTAGTGAATCGTTAATTAAAAATCTGTCTTACTTTCTTTATTAAAATTATTACTAATACAATATTATTCAGATCTTCATAAAAATAATAATAATTATTATTATTATTATCGTTTTATTATATGTATTATGCAACGTGTTAATTGTACATCGGTTACCGATGTCTCTTAATTTTTTTGCTTAATTATCTCGCGTATTATTTTTAATCATTTGTACTTGCTCATTAATTTTCTATTTAAATAATTTATTGTATGAATAATAAATTCAGACACGAATCATATTTTTATTTTATAATTCATCACTTTTATAATTAAAGTTAATTATAATTATATTCTCAAATATCGGAATAATCAAT